TCAGATGATATGGATATAAAAAAAGAGATGAAAAGTTTATATACTCAAACAAATATGTTAATAAAGCTTTTTTTAAAGGTGTTTTAGCTTAGTTTAAGTAAAATTATTTCAATCACATTGTATATACTTATATAATGCTTCCCTGTGGAACAATTTTAGTACAAGAACATTGATATACCTACAATATCGCTAATGTGCAAAAATGTTTTTTGCATACGTAAATTTTGCAGCCTTACTCAATTATGTTTTTAAAGTTAAGGCTCCATCTTTAATACTATTTTATCTAACTCAGGGATCAATTTAAAAGATAATAATAACAACTACATTTATATATATATATATATATATATATATATATATATATATATATATTAATTTATAAAAAAAAAGAAAACAACTTTTTATGGTACTAATAGTTTCATGCCTAAAGGCAATCATCAGCCATGTAATACAAAACAAGAAGCAAAAAAAACCGTTATAAAGTTACAGTGTAGTGTGCTCCGTCGTCAAAACAAAACAAAAACAAAAAGATAAGAAAAAACTAAAAACGGCTGCCTAATCACCCGTATCGAAATTCGAAAGGAGGAATTTGCTTTCATGTCTACATTTAGATACTAATTCATTCCCCTTATTTAATAAGTTATCGAAGGTGTACGATATTATGAAATACTTTTCGTATAGACATAAGTTGCATCTGTATAATAATCAATTCACAAAAGATACACTGTAACTTTATATTTTAACGGTTTTTTTTGTTTCTTGTTTTGTATTACATGGCTGATGATTGCCTTTAGGCATGAAACTATTTGTACCATATAAAGTTGTTTTCTTTATTTTTATAAATTAATATAATGCTCTATTAAATGATACAAATAAATCCTATTTATTTATTATTAAGCACTCTTATACGTACAAGAGTTTTTTGTATTTTATTGCAAATGCAAAATATTATACAATATATATATATATATATGTATATATATATATATATATATATATATATATATATATATATATATATATATATATATATGTATATATATATATATATATATATATATATATATATTCTCTATTAAATGATATAAATAAATCCTATTTATTTATTATTGAGCACTCTTATACGTACAAGAGTTTTTTGTATTTTATTGCCATATGGTAATCACTGAAAAAGAGGAGATTTTACACAGTAGCGGATTTTTTTTTTCGGGGGGGGGGGGGCATGAGTAGTAGCCCCCACTCCGCCTTAGGACTTTTTTTCAAAAAAATCTTTTCTGAATTGATTATTATACAGAATTGGACTACTATACTGACAAAAGAAATTGACTATTACACGCAATTATACGTATATGAACTTGATTATTACACTAAAGTACAAAAAATTAAAAAAAAGTTATTTAAAAATGAAAATATTCAGACTTTTTTTTTGATCACCTTTTTAGCCTTCTTCTTTGCTTGTGACATAAACCGCCCCTGATTTTACAATATGTGTTAAATGAATGAAAACTCTTATTATTTAGCGAGGCATTACCAGAGTGGACCCCTTTTATGAAAATTAAATAAATAATAACCCCTTTTTTTGAATGTCATTTGTTTTTATAACACATATTGCTGGTATTGTAATTAAAATTAATCTAATTTTAATTGCAAAATGCTTACATTCAATTTTATTGCTGTCTTACAATTATTGATTCTTGAAGAATTAAGTCTTATTAGTTAATCTATATTAAAATATACTATACCATATAAATGCAAGCCAATAATTATTCCTCCATTATTTAACTTGTCTCTATTGTCATCTTGTAACCATTGTTCACTTGTATTTAACTAATCACTTTAATCAGTTATCAATTTCACAGTTATCGACCAATCTTTAGTTGGAACAGAGCAAGAACTATGGACGGGGAAGATGAATCATACCAACTATACTTTTTTGTTGAACTTATCTTTTTCAATAAGTCTTTGTTTGATAACACAAGCTTATTGAACTTATAAGTTTGAAAATTGGTCATGGCTCAATGATTTATTAACATTATAAACGGCTTTTTTTTTTTACAATTAAGTCTTCAACTTGATCCCAAATAGGGAAAGTTTTAAGTTTCATCCAACTTAAAACTTTTAACTCTTGTTATTGAGACTAATAACAAGTCAAAGGTTGCATAACTTACATAATCTTGGCTTAATTATGATTCTAAGATGAATTAAATAAATAAAATTAAGGCTGTGGATAGAGTACCGAAAGTTTTTATATAAACTCTCTTTATAAAAACGAGATTTTTTTTACACGTGACCTTTAGCAACCAATGAACGCGCTATTAAAAGTTGAAACTTTCGGTAGTCTACTTTTCGGTAAAATTAACATAATGTAATTTGTTTATCTTTGGAAGAAACATAAATAAATGATCCAGTTGGGCAAAATTTGAATTTGGCTTCACACTGCTCTCTTTCTTAAACAAGAAAACATTTTTTTTAGACAAAGTTATTGAGAGTGCAGCAATTCTTTTACTTTAAAACTTTAAATTAAATTTATTACCTTTACGTAATTTATCGGCCATGACTATCGTTTTCGTAAGTTTAGATGCGCGCGCATTTTTCAATATTGTGTAATCAAGAGAAGAGAACACGTGCTGTGTGAGCATTTTCAATAAATTGTTAGTGACGAAAAACATTTTACATTTAATAGTTTTTACATTTTCAGTTCTATACATTTAAGTATTAAAAATTAAGTATTAAATATCGAATTTTTATAAAAATTAAATAAAAACCTCCAAAAAGAGGAAATTTCATGTTTTTTTCTGAAATCCCCCGGAGCCTTATTTTTTGCCTTAAAATCCGGAGATATGGCAACCCTATATATATATATATATATATATATATATATATATATATATATATATATATATATATATATATATATATATATATATATATATATATATATATATATATATATATATATATATATATATATATATATATATATATATATATATATATATATATATATATATATATATATATATATATATATATATATATATATATATATATATATATATATATATATTTATTTATTTATATATATAGTCTTGCTTATTTAGGTTCCACTATATATCTAGGTATGCTTTTAGAGCATATTTTTATTAACTGGTCAGGTACGGCTACACTCCTTTGGTTCAGACACATATATATGTAAAGCAGTCTTGAATCGTGACTTTTAATAAAGTAACTGCTGAACTTTAGGTATATTTACTATAGGCAGAGTAGAGCATTTATATCAGATTTATTATAAATTCACTCCAAAAACTAAAAGAAAGAAATACCAACAAATGAAAAATAAATGAATAAAAATAGAAAAATATTTTAATTTTTCTTATTCTTGAACACTCTTTTAGAAATACTCTTTATGTTAAATAGCTTTTATTTATGTGTCTAAGAAATATCAGTTCTAAATGCTTATTATTGTGCACTGAGAAACAGCAATCAAACGTATATCATTTTAGTATTGTTAATGCTGTCAAATAATCAGCTAGAATTTTCCAACATTTTATTATGAAAGTATAAATAAAACAATAAATAGTACGTAAATTATTCACTATTAAGTTAATTAATTTTCATTAAAAGAGCTTTTTATATATTGACTTTTCTGGCCTTTTCTGAAAAAAATTTCTCAATTGCTTGTATAAAATCTTTTGATCAAACTATGTCACTCTTAATAAAGCATAATAAAGCCGAATTATTCAGGCCAGGTTGTCCCATTGTTAATCTATGTTTATTCCTAACTCTTTTAATGGCAGAAAATGTTCTTTCTCCAATACAGTTTGTGACCATAAGAGGCAAATAAATTCTCAATACAGTACAGACATTGGCAAAAGTATCTGTCTATTTTTAATTAGAAAAGTGTACATATGCAGTTAAACACAATCAAACACATTGGGTGGTGACAACTTGGCAAGCAAAAAAAGTGAAGTGAATGAATTCACCTTGACAGTTAGCTTCAACACCTTCAAAATATGTTTTACATACAAATGAACTATGATTTCTCAAAACATCATTGAACAAAGATTGTGAATGTTTAAAAAAAATCAAACTTTTTGCTGTTTGTGGCATATGTTTATGATCAAATAATAATTGATCAACTATTCCAATCCAAAACTAAAACTCCATTTACTAAATCAAAAAACGTAACAGCCTCAGAACAATATCCTACAGCACATTGACCAAGAAGTTTATTCTGATGATTACAGCATGATATGTATTTAGTTATATTATTCTATTCTTTTATTTTTGCTTCCATACCATTGAAACTGTCACTTATTTTGGAAGCATTATCGTAAGATTGACCTTGATAGACTTTAATAGAAATGCCTGTATTTTAAATCAATTAACTTTGTTGCTGATTTTTCCCTAGTGTGAACGTTCAATTGGTCCTTTAAAAGCAATGTAAAAAATAGATCAATAAAAAATAAAAGCACGCGGGACTCGTAGAAGACCATTAGGTATTATCGTCGAGAACCGCTAACATAAACCAAATCAATTTACTTGGACATAGCGCGTTTTGCAAATGGGATTCTCATTTGATGAAAATGGTAAATTAGAATTGAAATCTCTCATGATTATCAAATCGTTTTCGATTGGTTGCTGAATTTTGTAGCCAGTAGTTATTGGTTAGCAACAGTTATAAACGAATAAGTCGAGATTGATTAAATGGTAGTTTGAAAATGTGTTTAAAAATAAAACCAAATCAAACCAATAAAACCAAAATAACCAAAATTACCAAAATAACCAAAATTAAAAATAAAACCAAAAAAACAAAATCAAATAAATAATAAATTACATCACCAACCAAAATTTTGTACGGTTTACATAGTTTTATAGTACGGCCGGTATTTTAAAACGGTTATAAAAAATACGATTTAGGAAATTTTTTGTAAACTATTGTAAACTGTAAATTATTGTTGAAATTAATTATTTTATTATTAAAAGTTTTATTGAAGACCTAAGAAAAGCCGTAAAATAAGACAATTTAACTAATTTTTTATTTATTTATCAGTTTAACATTGTTGTCCACTAATAAAGACTCAAGTGACTGGCATCTTATCGACAAAAATGGCACACGTAGCTAGTGTAGCTAAATCTGTTCCCGTTTCTAAAGTAATCAAACCATTACTCTCTGTTACAAATAGTGAAGCCAAAAGAAGAGTTTTGAACCTTTATAGAGCATGGTGGCGTGAGGTATACTCTTTAAAGAATTTTTTAATAAAAGTATAAATTGTTTAAAACTAAGTAGAAAATTAAGTAATAGTTTCATCCAAGTCCCTAATTTTTACCATAACATGTAAACTTTGTGTTGTTTTTTTTAAATCTAGAAGACCTGAAAAAGTTTTTTTAAGTTTATGTTCTACCTATTTGTCAGTAAAAACAACACTCTCACATGTTTTACCTATTTGTCAGTATGTACTCTTCAAATGTTCTACCTATTTGTCAGTCCATGTAGCAACCCTCTTTGCATGTTCTATTTAGGTGTCATTTGATATAGCAGCACACTTTGCATGTTCTACCTATTTTTCAGTTGATGAAGCAGCACTCCTTACATGTTCTATCTATTTATCAGTTTATCAAAAATAAAAACGATTAGAAATTCTAATTGTTTTTATTTTGCTTTGTTTATTCTTTGTTTATTCTGCTTTGTGACAAAATTAAGACACTTTGTCAAAACCATTAAATTTAAATGAGGAAACTAAGTTTATTGTTTTTTAAACTACAATAACTAAACTTTATTAACTGAAATGTTTTTTTTAACATTTCTGTTTATAAAGTATTTTCAGTAAATAAAAATATAATTTTTATTCTAATAGAATATTCTAATAAAATGTTTCTATTTTTATTAAAAAAAAAAAAAAAAAAAAACATTCCAGATTATAAAATTTAGTTTTTGTGGTTTAAAAAACAATAAACATATAGGTATGCTACATGAAATTTTTAAATTGAATAAATTCTAGGTTGTTATATATCATTAGAAAGATCTTTAATTGAATATTTTAAAAGCGAAAAAATTATCAAAATCAAACAATTTCAAAAAAAGTTATGACGCTTTTAGTACTGATTTTTGGATATATGGATTTGTTGATTAAACTGTGGTCAAAATAATTTTTTTTTCAACTAAAATTGCAATAACTTGGTCAATTCTTGTCTAAATACTTAAAACTTGATGTCATTAGATAGATGTTAGAATAACCTAACTATTAATCTTGGCCTACACCTTCCAGGCGTATTAGGGGTGGCTAGAGGGGGCATCCAGCCACCACCTTTACTACTATAATATCAACATTTCATCTATAAAAGAGTATTTTTTTATAAAATTGTTGATTTTCATATGCAAGTAGTTGTTTTCATTTCCTTCTAGACCATATGTGAGAAGTTAAACTTCAATTCAGGGTGTATGTGGTGGAGGCTGGGGGAGGGGGGGGAAACACCCTATTTTTGAAAAAGTATTTTTTCAAATAATGGAAATTTTTTTAGAAGAAGGGGTGAGCCTGACCTAAAAAAAAAGGTATATGTTGGGGAGGGGGTGTACACCCTATACACCCTTTTATTAAAAATGATTATTTTATCAATTTTATATTTATTTAAAAAAAAGTAAATCTAGTATAAAAATACAAATTAAATTAAACTATATTACAACGTGCACCGGTGGCGCCCATCGAATCGGAAGCAGGTCGCCTCTCCACCTCCAACCTAAATTAACATAAATACATTATTAAAATTGAGAATATTATTTAATTTACATATGAAATTAGTTATTATAATTTCCTTCCAGACTTCCATACGATAGGTTATTCTTTGAGTTTATTAAAAATGGTATTATTTATTAAAAAAAGTATTATCAAAAATGAGTATTGAATAAACGAATGAATTCATGAATGAACATTTGAAAAAATCAAATGTTATAGTTTTACCATATAACAAGATGCACCAAACTGAAGATGTTATCACGTTACAAGGCATCAGACATTTTTTTGGTAGAAGAGGCAGCTTAACTCATTAAGATTTTTAGTCCAGATATCACAAATTTTTTTTATTGTAAGATGGTTAGTCGAAATTCTATCTGACATCGTGTTTGATATATTTGAGATAATCAAACAACAACATTCGTCAAAGGGTTTTAAGTAAAAATTTGAATAAACTAAAGCAGTATGATCCACTTGTTACCTGTTGGGACATTGGATAATATCATGCTGTAAATTATCATCCTCATTTTTAATAGATAAGTTTTATCATCATCTAACATAATTGTATTATTTATATTGCAGTCTTCCATCTGGGTCATATTGTTTTCTAAGCAAGTAATAGCATTTGTATTTGTCCTATTAGCAGCATTATGTCTGAGAGTTACATTTCTAAACTTTTCTCTCTTTTTATTTTTCATTGCCTTTTTAGTAGCAATAAGGTTGCGAAAAAATCTACTGTAATAATGTTTGTATTTTATTTTTTAAGTCTCTAACCTCAGCTCATAAAGTTTTTATAATCTGTTCTTTTCTTTTAGCACTCTGTCTTGAAACTTTTAATTTATATCGCATGCAGTTTATGATTGTTTTCAAAGATATCTTCGTACGACTTTCTGTGGTAGACCTAGCTAACCGAGAAGATAATGTGACATCATCTTTTAGAACTTAGTTTCTTAGGACTAGGCTTTTCTATTTTCTGTCTTGTTGTATGCCTTGTACTCAAATTTTCACTTCCACTTACATTACATTCATTTATTGTCGATGTATAACTAATGTGTCTAGAATCTGTCTCAACTGAAGAACATGAAACATTAGAAATAGCATTACAAGAGGTAGGTGGCACTAAAAGTGTAATTGTTGACAATGATCTAAGACAAGGCTCATTGCGAAATGCAACACAACTTGCATTTAGCCTTTTAAAATTTTTTGACTGCATACACTATGCTTTTAATTTGTGATAGGCAAATGATACTAATCAACTGTAAGTCAAAATACTCATTAAGCTGTGCAACAGTTTTGCTATAAACTTCACCGTTGTGTGTAAAAAGAAAAAAATACGTACCCATTCATACATTGAATGCTTGTTCCAGATGGTAATTTGTAGTTAGCAGCTAAATATTTCTTAAACGCTCCACAAAATATTGTTTTAGTATACCTTTTTTTTGGACGCATTTTGTTGTAAATAATAAAAAAATATTTTACTATTATCAAACTAATGTGTTTGATAAAGACCACAAACACTAAAACCACTAAAAAAAAAAGTGTAGAACTTTTATTTTATAACCTTTGAATATATTTTATTTAATGTATTTATTACAAAAGAACTAGATTAGTGTAAAATAGTTAAGTATAAGTAACTTTAAAAATAATCAATTAATTTATAAATTATAAGAAAAAACAAATAAATATTTGTAATGAAATAAGAAAAAAAGAAATGAAAATAAAATAACATTAAAGAATAAATAAACAATATTAAAAATATTAACCACAACATTATTTGTATTCTAAAACAATTATTAATACAATAACAAAAAAAGTAGTAATGGTATATATATATATATATAGATATATATATATATATATATATATATATATATATATATATACATATACATATATATATATATATATATATATATATATATATATATATATATATATATATATATATATATATATATATATATATATATATATACATATATATATATATGTATATATATATATATATATATATATATATATATATATATATATATATATATATATATATATATATATATATATATATATATATATATATATATATATATATATATGTATATATATATATATATATATATATTAAAGTTAAATATAGAAATTAAAGAAGTAGGTTTGGATTACAAACAGAAAAAAATTGCCAAGATGAAGAAGTAAATTATTGAAAAAACTTGGAAAAAAAACAACAATTAAATAAAAAATAATTTACTACTTACACAGAGTGTAAAAAATAAATAAATCTATTTCAACCAAAAAGTACTTGCTCCTTTTGACTTACAATAACTATGGTATTAAATCTTGCGCTTTCAACCAATTTCCCTTGCAAGTGTTAACTTGCATATATTTTTTATTTATTTAAAAATCTAAAGATAATCATAGACATGAAATTCATGTTTATGATTATCTTTAGATTTTTATTTTATTTTATTCATGATGAATAAAAATAAATACGTTATCTACAGGTTAATAACCTGTAAATAAAACACAGAAAATTTAAAAATATACACATAAATTAAGCAAACAAATGTCATTTAGAGCGTATCATTTTTTTGAGTTGAATATCATAAACTGATGAAAATTTAATCACAAAAAAAAGTCAATTTGGCTTTTATTTGTGATTAATTATTGGCCAAATAACTTTGAGATTGAGATCGGTGGCAATAATTCGGAGATTGCAATGTTCTCCAAATAGTTTGGAGATTGCAATGTAGTAAAGCTCATTTTATCTAAAAATTAGATTATTAAACGACTATATAAAACCGAATAATGTTTATTTGAAGAGTTTCTCTTTACAATTTCATATACTAACATATAAAAATATTTTCAAGTTCTGAAAAGTATACATTTGTTTGTTTTTAACGGCTGGTTATTTCACCCCCCTATCTCCCGTGAATATTCTAGAAAATTTTGAAATTAGGTACCAAAAGTGGGGGTAAAAATAGAGATAATGCGCATCCATATTTTTCAATGAAACTTGGCAGGTAAACAAAAAATGTGTAAACTTAAGGGTAAGACTAGGTTAGAAATGTGTAAAAACTCATCTTCAAAGTATGGGGAATGCATAATGTACTACACATTTTTAAAAGTCAATAAATTATCTTAAAAAGTTCGTTATAGTAATCAAAAGACAAATAGCAACCAAGATATATTCTTCTAGTTTTTAAAAAATATCTATTGTAATATGAAAATTTAAAAATTTAGGCAGCAAAAAACGTTCCTACCTTACTGGCGAAAAGAAAACTTAAAAAAGCGTGGAACAAGAATTTAGCACATTTATCGGTTCCGTAAAACGCGAATTCCGCATACCTAAAACATAGTTCCCTCATTTAAATTTAATGGTTTTTACAAAGTGTCCTTAATTTTATCACTTTTAAAGACACATAATTGTTTTGAGCTGATATCAATAATAAAGAGTATATTTTGTGCATATTTTAGTTTTATGGTTTAATAAAAATACTCTGCTTGAAGTTGACTTTTCTAAAAAATGTTGAAAATTGCTGGTGCCTGATTGCTGTCACCTTTTTATGAAGTATAAACAATCCCGCCACTTTATTATAAATCTCTATATATAACAATGATTAGGCGGGATGGTATTTTTTAATACACGAAATACCATCCCGTTACTTTTAACATTGTTTAATAAACTAAAGACTTATTTTAAAAATTTATAAAACGGCATTTAAATGCTTTATAAAAATTCATATAAATCAAAATTAACCAAATATCTTCCTAATAAAATTTTCAAGTAAAAGTAAATGTGTAACATTTGATATAGTTTTTAATAATTTACATAAAATTTTTTTGTGGTTTCAAAAAAATGCCTAATAGTTTTGGTAAAATTAATGATATTTTTATTTACACATTTATTAACAAATTAAAAAAAAACATAACAATTTTTAATAGTTTTTAATTGTATGCCTATATTGAATAAACACTCATGCAACATATTTTTTTCCAATCTTTCTCTCTCGTCATACTTAACTTTCTACTTTAAAAAAAAGGAGGCGGTGCGGAGATTTTTATCCTAAATTTAAGCCCGTATGTGCCTTATGAAACTGGGCCCTCTATTTGATCTGCGGTAAGCTGAAAAAGCATTGTAAGATAAAATGAAAAAAATAATAGTAATAAATTAAGATTAACACTAAATAAAATAATAAAAGATTAACACTACAAACTAATTTACCTGTTGCTTTTTCTAGCTGATGCTTTTTCTAGAGTATTGTTAAAAATAGTTAAAATCTGTTAGAAAAGACATTGCAAAAACAATTAGCTATTTCACAAAATAACAAAAACGTAATAGCTATCGATGCAAGCAAATTTTGCAATTTGATCAGAAAATAAAATAATTCTTACCTTGAGACAACTAATTTCCTTTTGAACTATTAGCTAATAATGAACCATATTTTAACAGTAGACAAAGTAAACACATGATAGTTGGTAGAGCACCTGAGTAGAACTAAAGAGATAAAATTACTTAATTTGCTATGTGATGCATATTATACCTGAGTTCTCGCCTAGCCTGATTTCTTTTATTTTGATTACAATTTATCTCAGCTGGCCTAGGCTCATCTCTTTAATTTCAATGATAATCTATCTCTGCTTGCCCAACCTGGTTCCTTTTATTTTGGTTAAGTCTAATAATTTCACTTCTTAAATTATCAGACATTATTAAGCATCAAATGAGTGTGTAAAAATGATGCTTAAAATAATAAAAGTTAAACTTTTATTTTTAAATTGAATTTTGAGTTTTCTTTCTTAAACTCATCTAAAATACAGTGTAAGCAAATAAAACAGCATAATATAATAATCTAATTGTATTCTACCTCTACTATTAGTCATATTTAAATTAGATGTTTTTAAATAATCGTGTAAAGATAACATATTTCTATTTAACTTAAACTTAAACTAAAGTTATATATAAATTGATATAATCTTTTTAACTGAGTAATGGGATATATAAGGTAGTTCTTATTAGTTATTGACAAAATATTATAATTATTTAATTTTTAAAAAAAAAGTAATTAAAAAAAATTTACAGATAAAAACTCGTAAATAAAGCAAATTGATAAAATTATCAGGCCTGTCTGCTGAGTAAGTATTGCTAACATTGAACAGTGAAATGTAATCCTCCATCATAAAATCCCTTTCATTAAAGTGTTTGAGGTTAGCAAAAAGTTGCCGACCTCGTTTCTATGTTTTATAGTAAGACCTTTGTATCAAATTTTTTTTTTGCTGACCTGATGCCGACCTCTAAAAGATTTAGGCAAATTATTGCCGGCCTCATTTTTCCTAATTCCGAGGATTTGTAGCACATGCAAGGAATGTTGTTACATTAACTGATAAATAGGTAGAACATGTAAGGACTACATTTATCAGTTAATGTAACAACATTCCTTGCATGTGCTACAAATCCTCGGAATTAGGAAAAATGAGGCCGGCAATAATTTGCCTAAATCTTTTAGAGGTCGGCATCAGGTCAGCAAAAAAAAAATTTGATACAAAGGTCTTGCTACATAGACTGACAAATAGGTAGCACATATGAGGAGTGTTGCTACATTGACTGAGGGTTTAGTTTGAGCAGGCAGTGTATTAACAAAAAAAAAATTTTTCTAAGTTTATAAATTTTTTCTGGTCTTCTTAATTTTTTTTTTAAACAACATTTTTATTAAAAAACAAGTTGCATTTTATGGTTAAAATTAAAGATGACCAAGCAAAAGTGTATATCAACTCTTCTCCGAAAAGGGAAGCAGTCATGTGCCTTATATGACCACGCATGTAATATTTTTATTTGAAAAAATGCACCAAACAAATAAAAATAAATTTAAACTAAAACCAAGATAAAACAAACCATAAACTGAAAAGAGAAATAAAAAATAAAAAAACTACAAAACTAAACTAGAAAAATAAAAATAATAATGACAGTTAAAATAGAAGATAAACTAGAAAAAAGAAAAGCATAAAATTTTATTTTGAATATTAGAAAAGATCGAAGTTTTAATGTTATTTAATCAAAATTTAAATACTTCAAAACTTAATTATTTAAAAATTAAAAACTTTGAAATTTTGTGTCTACTTTGCAAAGTAAACATAGTAAAAGTTGTCTGTTAAAAGGATTGATAAACCTTCGTCCATCCCCACATTATCAGTTGCAGTCTCATGTATACATTATTTAATCATCCTAAGTGCTGCACTATGGTAATAATATTGAAACAATTATCAACTTTATACAAACAATTAAGGGGCTTCTAAATTAAAAAAATATATTAGTTTTAGCGCATTTTTAAAACAAGTAAATTATCAAAAGATCTAAAGTATTGTGGCCAAGTTTTCAAAACAAAATACTGTGTGTGTTTTTCATATAAGACATGCAATTGCATGCCTTTCCTGAGTAGGCTTGGTATATATGTACAGGCCTAGGCTCCACACTCCCCTAAAACGGTTTACAGGAGCAATTTACGGCTCTCGCAAAAGTATAATTTTTCTCACAAAAGTATAATTATCGTTGTAATTAAAATAAAAAACACAATGTCATTTCAAATAAATTAATTGCATAATATTCTGCATTGCTTTTTAAAAAGCACGGTTGTTGCAAAAATAAAAAATTAAAGTAAAAAAGAGCACCAATTTAAATGAGGAGTAGCTCGTACAGCTCCTCAAGTTTTAGGAGAGCTTTTCGTGGCTCTCGTGCTCATTTATTCCCACCGAGGCCTTGTACATACCTGATTTTCTAATTTTCAAAATTCTGAGCAAACATTGAAATTTGAATAAAAAAAAGTTGGTCAACTCAACATGCTTTTTAAATTGTTCGGCTTAAGTTTGCATGTTTATCAATTTGTTGAGCCCTGTATTTATTAAATCTTTTAGTATTTATTTTATCTTGAATTGTAAATTTATGTATTAATAATGCTAATTTAACTTTAAATAAATTTTCAGATCCCGCACACATGTGAATCACATGGGTTGGATATAACAGTTAAAACTGGACGCAGTAAAGTTCGTGAAATGTTTGAAAGAAATCGACATGTAAAAGATATTAGAGTTATTGATATGCTTGTGGTTAAAGTAAGAGTTCTTTATTTTGATTGCTTTCTAACTTTCATGGTATCAGATTGATTGTAGACTTTCTAACTTCCACAGTATAAAATTAGTTGCAGGCTTGCTAGCTGTCATGGTTGTAGTAATGAGAAAATAAAAATAATATCTCATGATGGATTGGTTTTTTACTACTCTACCATTTTTCTCAAGCTTTTTTTCCAGTAAATCTTTCAGTTTTCAAAATACTTCTTACCCAATTCTCTTCTTACACCACATTAATCTTGTGTGCAAGATCTTTGACAATCAGTATAGATTTTCTAACAGCTGCATAAACACTAATTTTTTACCTTAGTAAAATTTTTTTAACTGAGTTTACAGAAATATGTTTTTTAAAGTTTTCATTAAATGTATTGGTAAGTTCATGATAACTTAATGTTGGATTGGCTCTTACATGACAAAGTGTAAGACTAAAATTTAAAACTACTTTACACCAAGTAGTTTTTTTTTTAACCTTCCTGATCCTGCATGATGTTAAATACTACCTGTTGTTTTAAATGTTTTTAGAGTATATCTGGCGCAATTCTCTAAAATTTTTAATTTTCTTGCTATTCACTAAGCTATTTTTTATACCTAATATTTTAATATATATATAATAATAATTTGTTGCTTCAATTACTAATTTACAAGCTATTGCTATTTATCTTAATTTTTAGGTTTTATCTTTTATTTTTTCAGTATATAATCTGCAAATTTACAAATAATAACAATAATATGATAACTATAACAGGGTGGCCACACCTCCTAATAAATCCTAAAATATCCTATTATTTAAAAACCTTAAAAAAACCTAATTTTGTCTAAAATATGCTTGAATTTCAAAAATACTTATAAATCTCCTAATTTAAACTTTTTTTTGAACTTGAAGTTTTCTTTCGAACATTTAATTTAAACTTTTCAAATTTTTTATTAACCCTTTAGCAGTCCCATATTTTTTTTAAAACAGTCGCTATTAGTGCAGCTTTTTTTTTTTTTGAAGTGCTCTTTAAATGTCCTGTATTTTAAAATTCATCATGTTTTTTCACTAATAGAATAAAAAATGTTTTTTATTATTTTTAACATTATTAAACACTACAAAATGTTATTATTTAAGTTTAAGAATATATAAATCATACTACATAAACATAAAATTTTAAAAATGTATTCGCTAATATTCAATTTTTGTATGATAATTGTAAAAAGTATGGAGCTGCAAAAAGTCCTACATCATGTTCTACACATTCATATCCTGAATACACATGTTCTACACATTCATATCCTACATCATGTTCTACACATTCATATCCTATATATTGTGTTTGTAACATACCGCACACCATCTTCAAGTATTTATCTTTTATTATCATTTTCAATAATTATTCATAAGATATATCTTTTCCTTATTGATTCATCAAATGTATAAAATTCTATCTTTTCGTGAGTAAATGTTTACTTTTTGATAATTATTTTTGCACTAAAAGAACTTCCTTATTTGTCATATTTAAAATTACGGCATGGACATTTAGAATCCACTTTAAGTTTGTGTAATATTATGGCATGGACTGTTAACAGGTTAAAATTTTTGAATATTTAAATTTCATGAAAAAAAAATTTTAAATTCTCCTAAATAATCCTAATTTTTTGAATTGTTTTTCCAAATTTCCCCATAAAATCTCCAAAAAACCCCTTTAAAATCTCAAAAATTCTGCAGCAACAGAGTAACAAAAGCAAACATTTTCAATAACCAATTTTAATCAGTTTTGACAAGGAATCATTGGTTCAGCAACTAAAATCTTTATCATCCAAAACAAAGGTTTTAATTTCAGATATGATTGATCAAATATTGTTCCCAAGTACCTAAAAATGCTTGATGGATAATATCAATGGTCTGTTTGTTTTAAAAGCATGTGGAGGTTTTGACATCAAATAAAGTTTTGACAAAGACATCAATGGCAGTTTTGCTAATTTTGGTTTTCCAACTTTCATGACAACTACTAATAAAATCTGGTAAGGTTTTACCAGAAACTAATAAAATCTGGTAAGGTTTTACCATCTTAGTTAACGGCTAATGTTACACTTTTATAAAAAAGGCAACTACAGACCAATATTTCTAACTTCTGTATCATGCAAATTAATGGATAAAATAGTTAACCAAGTCATAATCCATTTATTTGGTAAATAAAAATTTGCAATTACTAAAATTCAACATGATTTTATTTCAAAAAAAACTTGCTTCAATCTTTTAAAAACAGCGGAGCAAATCAAAGAAAAAACCTGTCCGCATAATTTTTCATGACTTTGCCAAGGCATTTAATTAGGTTTTGCCTCTGAGCTGCAAACGCTTAAAATGTAGAATATAAATAACAATCTTCTAAATTAAATAAAAGTCTTTTTGATAAACAGCTAGCTGCGTGTCATACTTAAAGGTTCAATATCTGACTGTATTGATATAATCAACAGTGTTCCGCAAAGTTCTGTTTTAAGGTTGAAACTATTTGTTTCATTTGATAATGACCTGCCAATTCATGTCAAAACACCCTTTTGTAAATTGTTGGCAGATTATACAACGTTCATAAAAGTTTGCAAAAAGACAGGGAAAATTTACAATCTCATCTAGATAAAATTGTTAGATAGAGGCAAATCTGGCTAATGGAAAAAAATGTAAATTCATGCATCTTAACTTTCAAACAATAAAATTTGCATACTTTATGGAAGAAATTAAAGATAATGGCACAATCAAAAGTCACATATTCCAAAATAGAACTTAGAATCCTAATCTCTGAGAATCTTAAATATTCATAACACTGCAACATTAACACTGCAACATTAACAGCAAACAAAGCAAACAACATGCTCAGAATTCTTTAACACACATTTGTATCAAGAGACACTGACATTTATACTGTATATATATGACCGAATCTGTAGTTTGCTATACAAGCTTGGAACTCTTAACTTGTTAGTGACGTATAAAAAATTGAAAAGGCACATTACAACACCGCAAAAGTTTGACAGGTTTTGAAAAAATAAAGAATAAATAACTTGATGTAAATTAATTATTTGGTTCCAACAGTAATAATATAGGAAGGGTGAACTTTTTCTTTTCTTTTTTTTTTAATGATGAAAAATAGTAAATACAGTTCTATTGATATTTGTAGAAATGCTGTTACTGTTCATCGAATCACACAAATAATGGAGATCTGAATTTTTTATAAAGCTGCTTAAGTGATTTGTTAATGCTTAGAAGATTAATGTTGTCAGCATAATGATAAACAGTTAAATTAATTATAAAATTAAAAAAATATATTAAAAATATCAAAAACCCAAGAACAGAACACTGTGAGACTCCATTATGAATAACTTTGTTTGTGGATTCAAACCTGTTAATCAAGATAAACTGAGTACAATTTTAAATATATGGTGAAAACAATCATAAGCAATACCCTGTATGCCATAGTATATAACTTTTTAATTCCAATTTTGTATCAAAAGTTTTTCGGAGATCAATAAAGATGTCACAAGTTAAAAAGCCACTATCAATCGCATCTCAACTCATTTTAGTATTGCTAAAAAGAGTAGATTGTAAAAATTTCCGATATGAAGTTGAAAATTTTCAAGTTTTTATCTGGATTTTTTATTTACTTAATTTATTAAAATTGCTGATGTAGTCCATGGTTTAAGGCTCCAAGTGAAGCCACAAAAACTTGTTTTTTTTATTTGTGTGCTTTTGTCTAGAAGTAAGTTGGTGCTAGTGAAGAAGTCTGAATTAGTAATGCAATAGGAAACTGTTCACAGTTTTTTTAAATAATCATTTTTGAATTTTTTTACCATTTTGTTTTCTGAATTTTTCAAGAAAAATATTGCTTTTTTTAAAAGATGATAAAATTAGAGATTGTGACAAAAGATCGGATGTTCTAATAGTTGTATTGCCTGATATATTTTTATTGATAGATTACCTGCTCAAACCAAAACCTTTGGTTGATGTAGCAGCACTTCTCCTATGTTTTACCTATTTGTTAGTCAATGTAGTAGAACTCTCCGCATATTCTACATAGTTCTTAGTTGATGTATGTAACAGTAAAAAATTAAAAATTAAAAACATTCAGAATGTTTTTGTTTTTTTTTTAAATAAGAAAGGTTCCAGACTAAAAGTTGCCTTTTTCTGGTTTACTTAATTAAATTTAATGGTTTTTACATTAATTGTGCCTAATTTTGTTGCTTTTAAAGACAAAAAAGAAATGTTTGAAAGCGAACAGCTCTATATAAATAACAATACTAGTGACAAGACTAGTATGTTGCCAGAGCATCGGCTGAAAATGAGACTTTTTGCAAACCCAGCCCCTGCAACATTATAAGATTTAGCAGGGTTTGACAGCTGGGGCTAGAAAAAAATTTTATAATACTTTATATATTGTAATTTTATGCTTACATTTACTATTTATTAAATACTGGCATATATTTATATATTTTTAAACTCTAATTTATTTCCAACAAAATTGCAAGCAACCACTATCAAGTTGAGTTACTTTAAATAGAGAATAAGTTAATATACTAGGAAACGGTTAACTGAAGACTTAAAAAGTTAGGTTGTATAAAAAATGAAAACATGAAAATTGGTGAAAGTTAAAAGGTTTTTTTGATGTGCAAGGAAAAAAACTGGATTAATAAAAGTTTTTAAGGCATGAAGGGACAGATACAATAAAAGGGTGCAACTTGTTGAATAAGAAGCCAAATAAGAATGAGTTTTGGTTTATCGTAATAGAGAGCTCATTTGAGCATTCACCATGATAGTATTTGTAGTGTGTAAAAAAGAAATGCAACCTTACAACAATGGGAGAGTGGCTTAAGTTTGGCAGATAAGCAGATCTAATTACATTTACAACATGCTTTGTCTGAGAGTAAAAGGGTTGTTATTCATCAACAGAGGAATTATTATTACTAACAACATTATTATTAGAGAAATAGCAATATTGTTTTCTAACAAAAATTGT